AATTCAGTATTTCTATGTTCTCACTGTTGAAACCAAAATGATCCACATTAATTAAATGCAATAAAAATTACCAACTTTCAAAGGTGAATCAACAAGTCCAAAGTCTAACAGTTATTAGCCAAATTTTGAATTAAAATTTTCACTCTGTGATATATAGAACTACATTAAATTAAGGAGATTATAGTGAAAAATACATATTTCTGAAAATAAGTGCTTTTTTCATCATTATGCTAAGAACTTATTGGTGTACATATATATGAATATTGATTTCAATATTACAAAAATGAAACCAAATATTTAGAATATTTGGAAACTATCCACTTAAGATATACAATCTATGTGTAGGTTTGTATGTACTTATTTCACACCTACACATATATTGATCTTTGACTAAAAATAAAATTGAAGAATTAAGATTATATTAATATTAGAAATATCTACATATTAAATATACTAACTTTCTTTGGGAAAGTCAACTATAATATATATTTACATTCATTTATTTAACATAATTGAAAACTGAAAGTAAAATTTTTGTCGCTGACACTTTTTCCAAGTTGTTTACTTTAATAATTGTACATTTGTTCATAGCAATTTGTTAAAAGTAAGATAAAAATGAAATAGATTTTTTTAATATTCTCTAATTTTTACTTATTAAATCATTATATTTTTGACTATTTAAATTATGTAATCAGCTAATTTAATTATAAAGGGGATTTCTACTACCTACAAATGTTTAACAACATTATGACTTCAGAAGGAATTGAAATGTCCTTAAATAATTATTTTGACTAAATCATGTTAAGAACATAGTACTTATTTTTTAAAATATTTACTGTATTATATATTATAGACATCATATTTAATTCGACAGAGAGCCACCTGAAGTGCTCATAAGACTGAGCTGGAATAATCTTTTAAAATTGGGGTGTACACAGGCTGCCCACCTATAATATCAGTATTCATAATGTTAGCTTCTTTGTCGATTTGAACACTGAACACTAGTGCTATTGCAAATTCGAACATTAGCCACTGGTACCAGTGACGGTGAAAATTGTGCAAATACCTTAGCCATTAAACAGCCTAGAATATACCTATTGCAAAATTACCAGTTTTTTCTGCTAATTATTTTAAATATTTGAACTACAAGTTTGATTAAAGGGAGATAAGCTAATTATAGAGTTATCCCCCTCAACAAAATTGAGCAAAATATTGGATGCAACTATTATTGATTTTTGTTTTTTAGACGTATATTACTTGCATCTAGAATTCGCTTGATTTTTATCACAATTCTCAAATGACCATTCAGGGGTCTTTAGTCAATAGTGTGGATCCGAAATAAAGAATAATCTATGACATTAAAAAATAATAGTAGCATAAAGAAAAATAAAACATAATTTTCTAAATTCTTAATTTTGCTATCTACCTCAATGATATAGAGATATGATTAATCCTTTTTAGTACATTTTTAATAAGGTAAATTTTATTACAATGTAAAAATTTGAGTTCATTCAAACATCAGCATTTAAAGTTGTTTAGTGATTCTTATCATAACTTTTATGAAGTGATATTAAAAGAATTTATATAAGCACATTTATATAGAATTGCTTTCATATATATATTTTATATATATGTATTAGATTTTATATATATATATATTAGATTTTTTTAAATAATTATATATATATATATATATATATATATATATATAACCACATAGTGAGTGCTGGTGGTAATAATAAAATAGTGTCTAGTGTAAAATAAAAGAACTAAAGTTTATACTAAGAATATACGTTTCTTTCTCACTGTTTGATGTATTGAATAGTGTAAATGTATATTTATTATTAGGAACTATTGTCATTAGATAATAATAATTTTTAGAAGTATGTTGAAATCAAATATTTTGTTAAGCCTTTCTCCTCTGCAAAGATCTCTTGGCTTGAAAGTAGATATTATATATACACAGTATATATTCTTTTCTTTGAACATTATGAAACAACTCTATTTTTAGTTTTAAAAATTTTACTAATGTACAATAAGTTACTGATAATAATTTGAATAGTTTTATCATCTAAAACAGTAAAATTATTGTTTCTATAAATTATTTAAAGTTATTTTTTATGATATTTGTAATTTTGATGGTATTGAATATATGAAAGGAAAAATTGCGTCTTGAATGAATAACAATTTTCTACTTGGCAGTAGTGTATCTTTGTTAACTGTCTTCCATTTTGAAGTTTTTTTTCCATTATTTAATCAGCACATTCAAACACATTTAATTTCTATGAACCTTTTTTATATATATATGTATGTATGTATATATATATATATATATATATATATATATATATATATACGTATATATATATATATATATATATATATATACGTATATATATATATATATATATATATATATATATATATATATATATATATATATATATATATATATATATATATATATATATATATATATATATATATATATATATATATATATATATATATATATATATATATATATATATATATATATATATATATATATATATATATATATATATATATATATATATATATATATATATATATATATATATATATATATATATATATATATATATATATATATATATATATATATATATATATATATATATATATATATATATATATATATATATATATATATATATATATATATATATATATGTATATATAGTAGATATTTGAGATAATAATTTCACCAGGATTGTTACACATCAATTACTATCATTACTAATGAGAATAAATTTACTCCGCAACAAGAAATTTACCATATGATTACATTTTAAATAACAAATAAATTTTTAAGTATGTAATAATTAGTTAATTATAACATTTCATGTGTTATTAAGATTATTGAATTTATACTTTTGATCTTAGTTTAATCTGTAAATATTTCCTTTAACTAATCAAACAATTTAAAACTTAAGATAAAAAGTTAAAAGATATAGAAACCTCACTATTCTATAAAATAAATAAGCATTTAATGTTACTGATTAATTTTTTCATCTTTTCAATACTATAAAATAAGATGTTATTCCTTAATTTAGAATAATATTCATAAAGGATATTAGAGGTTTCATACTATTAAAATTATATAAACAATGTATAATGTGGTTAAATTCTGTAAAGATTTTTAAAGGCTCTTTAGATTTTGAATTTAAATCTCTTGAGATATATTAAAAAAATAAATTAGAAAACATTTTAGTGATATTAATATAATTAGAAAACATTTTAGTGATATGAATATTTTATAAAATTTTATTGTCATATTCTATTTCTAAATATTTCTAATCATGACTAAAATGATAAACAAATTAATTATAAGATTTTCCACTATAAAACAAAACATGCTTTCTTCTTACAAACTAGTAGATCACCATTAATCACACTGAAAAAAAGGTTAATACATAATGTAAATTTTTGACTAAATGCAGATTATTCACGGCAATCAAAAATCTAGTTTAGAACAATTTGCAGTTACTTTTAAATAAAGTTGCAGCTTTACTTGTGATGTTATACTTTTTTTTATAACATTTTTTTTCACAAAATCTATTTTTAAATTATATCTGATCTTATTATTTTAGCTAAATATTTTTGTATACTGGACACTAGTATAAAATTATTTGATTTTTAGTCTTAATAATGTTGGCTTTCATATCAAAATATCTTGAAATTATATTGTAATAAATTTATAGTAATAAAGATATTCTCTTATTTACATAAGAAATTACAGTGTCAATATTATAAATAATAAAGATATTCTCTTATTTACATAAGAAATTACAGTGTCAATATTATAAATAATATCTGCTTGTCACCACCTTTTCTACTGCTTCAAAGTAATTTATAAGGGATTATTTTCATCTCATTTCAAAGCAATCATACTTGTTAGATACACACAATCTATAGATATAGTCATTATCAGAAACTTGTTTTCCTTTCATACTCCTCAAATAATTGTTTCCTTTAAGTTATACATTACCTGATTTTCTCATCATCTTATATTTCATATTTCTTTATACCCAGCTTATTAAATTCATATGTCAATTACTCTTATTACTGTGAATAATAAAGTTACTCTTTAACTTAGAATTTCTCTTGCACTCACTCTCTCCATGATGCAAAGAAATTTATAAAAATATACTATCGATGACATTCCCACAGCTTGTCTTCTCTTTGCCAAAGTAGTTTCTGTATTAGTTTAGTTTACTAAAACAAATCTAATAGTTAAATATTTTATTTTTTCAGATTATGTAAATATCCGGTTGGAAGGAAAGTTCTCAAAGTTTGTAGAGCATTAAATCTATTTAGAAATCATAAGAACATTCCTTCCAACTAAAGAGTTGAATATTATTTTGTTGCAAGACTTTCTCACATCTCTAGAACATACTTAGGCTTTTCAAAATGATAGACAATAAGTATTAAATTACAATGATGACCAAAATTCAAATTAATATCAAATTAATTTTGAAAATTTTAAATCCTCACTAGGTTAATTTTTACTCATCAACATTTTCAGTTTGAACAAAAATAAATTTGAATTAAAGTTCAAATGAATGTTCAAAATAGTTTCCACAGTTATACAGAATTTTGGTGTTCCTTGTTATTTGATGTTTATTTTTACATAAAAAAACTGTTAATGTTCTCAGATAGTCTTCAAAATATTTTTCCTAAACTTTAACTGTTTTAAGCTTTCTGTAGATTTTAAATATAAAGACAAAAGTATTAGCAAATATTATTAAGTATAATAAAATACATGTTAACTAGAAATATGTGATTATTTTTATGATTTATGTATTTCTAATAAAGATAATATTTAATAAAATTCATCAGCTTAATTTTTTGTTTATGCACATTTATTTCATATGAAGTATTTTTAAGATATTGTCTTACTGTAAAAGAATCCTTATTTTTGCAAGCAAAGTAATAATTAATTTTCTTTTTTTCAGCTCCATTCTTCATCAAACATCTACCACATACAATTGATGTCATTGAAGGCACTGATCTACGTTTGGACTGTTCAGTTAAAGCTAAACCTAAAATTGAAAAATCTGATATTGAAGGTGACTACCATAGAGTTGAGGGGGGTGTTACAGGAGAAGAAAAAGAAAGAGGCGAAAGTCGGACATTGGAGCCTGCAGGGGATATGACATCAGGTCATGCCTCTGCTGAGGTGACCTCCTCTACTGCTGCTGCAGCTGCTGTTAGCAGTGAGGAACAAACTAAAAAAACTGATCCATCTTTTACTGACAAATTTGATGATACAGTTGTAACCGAAGGTGAGGATGCTGTGTTGGAATGTAAGACCTCTGGAGATTCAGACATCAGATGGTGAGTTATTACCTCTCTGATTAAGTTAGTCTAATCTTTCCAGGATGTGACATCAACAAACACCAATGAAGCGACGATCAAACAAATAGGTTCTTCCCATAAAACACGGATATGAAGGGACGTCAATCTCACAAAACACAGTGTTGTGAGAGATGTCAAGCTCACTAGACAGTTAGTTTTTTTTTGTTTTTTTTTTGAAGCTGATGACAGATAGCTGACCAGTTTCACTGTTAATTACTCCCACCCTTGACAAACAGCTCTTTTTCTCTTGTAGCATGAGACAACTCTTCTTTTAAGTTAAGCTTTGGTCTCATGCTGTAGTGCTAAACTATCTACATAAATTTATCGTTACAATTACTGCTAGGTTTTCTTTTTTTCTTTTGCTAAGTCTAAAAAATTATATTTCCTCACCTTCTTTAAATCCGTCCAACCATTCCTTAAACTGAACTCCAGTACTGTAATAAGCAGATAAATAAAATAACAGACATCTCTTATTTATTACCTGTTAAAAAATGTTTGTGTGTGTTTTGATTTTTATCTGTCTGTCTCTCTCCATTTTTTTTTTTTTTTTTGTTTTGTTGTTTGATATATACAATATACAGTGTAGACTCTTGGCAGGAGGCCATGTACTTCTGAATAGAAAAAGAAAAAACATCCAGGTGGGCAGATCAAAAAACATCAGTTGTATTAAAAACATCTTTGGTTGTAATAAAATGTTTGACTTCTCAGTACAGTGGCTATTGTTCCCTGCTGCCAACTTGCGACAAACCTGAAATTCTGCACCAAAATTGATCTTGGATGCAACAAAGCAGACTTTTAGTTTGAAGTATGAATTTGCACTTTTACTCAAAAATGAACTTTAGGGCATAAAAAAAATTTAAAAAAAAAAAAAGAACAGACTGCTTTCAACCCATTGCTCTCAAATAAATGACAATTTTGTCAGATAAACTGAGAAATCTTCTTAGGTGTGTGCATTCCCTTCAGTTTTGACTGAAGCTAACCTGTAAACTGCATAAATGCCTATGAATCAGAACTGCTTACTTATCCATACCTTTTGTGTGTGTGTGTGTGTGTGCAGCCGTGGTTCTTGGACAGAACTTTAAGGGTCTGAAAATTCTTCATTCCCAAAAATAAATCAATAAGTGAAAAACTTCACTTCTAATGTTGGTCACTTATCATCAAAATAAAATTCTATTCTGGACCGAAATTTGCATTGTTATCACCGTCAACTTCTCAAAAAGTTAGATTATGGTTAGAAAAAAAAATCAATTTATATCCCCTCTTACTCTTTATAAAGTCCCTTTACCTTTCCTCTCTAAATGACTGAATTTGAATGACTATAAATATTGGTGATTGTTGCTGAAGTTGCTAATGTTATATTATTTTGTTTTCATGTTGCCAGAAACTATTCCATGTCTTTGTAAATATCTTAATTGACTTTAATTCATTTTTTATTAAGATTAAGATATTAAAATATTGTATATGATAACATTACTGAACTTTCTTTCATCTTCTATATTTTATACATTTCATCATTTCTATAAAACTCATATAAAAATGTTCATTGCTTAATCATGCAAGAATAAATGATGCTATGCAATACACAATATAATCACTTTTTCATATGAAATCAATTATTTTTGTTTGGCTCTGCTTTTGAATTGAATATTCACGATAATTTGTTGCGTGCAATGTCTTTAGCATGAAAATCAGTTAGAATTATCAGTTTTTTTACTAATAGCTAATGCATAAAATTTATTTTCATTCTCCTTCTTTAACTCTCAGTATGTATATAAGTATGTAGCTAAAAGCTATAATACTATTAATAGTTATTTTAAATAATGCTTGTTATGAACTTTTTGAAATGATTATATTAAATAGGCTAATGTCTTTCTCAGTACAATATTTAAAATTTAAGTTGACTGTATATTTAAGGAATAAAATGATAATTTATATGGTATAGGAAAATATTATATAGTCTTAATTTATTGACCATTTGTTGAAAACTTTTCAGTTTAAAGTTAAGATAATACTAATGAAGTACCAATGGAGATGTCATGTATAAAAACTAGAGTGAAGATCAATAGTAAATGAACAATGTAGGATACATTATTTGTTAACAGTCAAATACATAAGCATACTGATCCAATTGCTTTTGTACTAAGTTTTTATTAAGCAATTACATCTATTGTGACTAAGTGTTTATACTAGTAGATGAATTCTAGCAGTAGGCTTACTGATACAAAAATCAGGAGATTAGTGTATTAATTCACAGATAGATAAAAGGCTGAGAAAAGAGTTATTTGTTATCTATGATAAGATGTAATTAGATTGCTAATATCACTTGAACTGATCCTAGATAGTAAAAACAAAGATTCTGATAGATAAAAACTATTTATTATAGTTGGTAGGCTCAAGCAAATACCTCAGAAAGGATGAATCTGATTGAGAGTCTGATTGAGACTTGTGACTTATTTGGATTATGTCAGTTTAACTGTATTTGAAGTTAAATCAAAAGTAATATGTTTATGTTTAACGATATTATTGCAGGAACATTTAATACTGTTTTTAGCAACAAGAAAAAAACACAAGATCTTTTTAGCTTTTAGAATACAAGATTAAAATAAGAAAATATTTCTTTTTTCATATCTCACTCATCATACTCATCTGATATCTTCTGTTTCACATTTTCTACAATTTTAAAGCTAGAGCTGACAAAATAACTAACTAAATAAAGTAATACTAATAGAAGTCGCCCAACTAAACTGATAAAAGTCATTTGAACCTGAGTTGTACTGGATAATCTTCTTAGTATCTTAAATAAAATCTTGTAGAAAATTCATTTTTAGATGTTAGATTTTCTATTAGGATATCCTTTTGTAAAATTTCCTGACAGGAAATATTATAAATATTTATTATTGTTTATATGATAGAAATTAGAAACACTGAGATTTTTTAATAGCTTCCTCTCCCAGAATGCAAGTAAAAACTGCTAAATGGTAAAGTAAATCCCATATACAAAGTGTAATGAATAAAAAACATCAAATATAAACTTAAGAAGCTGCAAAAACAGAATCATTAGTAATTAAACAGCCTTTTGTACAGGGTGGATAGTATTGAAATAGGCAGGATTGGATAGGTTCATTATTATCACATTCTCCTTTGGTTATTGTTTTACTCATAGGGAAGAAAATCCTTTAGATGCCTGGACATCTTGTGGGTCCTTTTTGGTCTTGGTTGTCCAACTTTGTCAGGATCTTCTGGGTTTTCTTCATCTGGTTCAGAGCTGTTGTCTCTCTGAGATTTGGTATCAGAGGGTCTCACTTTGTTACATTTCAGCTTTCTCCACTAGTGGTTTAGTTCACCTTCAGTGTCGGTATTATCAGTGGTAGGATGGACCTATTTTTGTGGCATAGATCGCTTGTCTTTTGCTTGATTCATACCATTAGGATCTACAGCTAGGAGATTGTAAATAGTTCCCAGAGTCAGTTAGAGTGTCAGGGGCTGGCATCCTGGGCTCTTGGAAAGTTTCTGATTCACCTCCCTCTTCTGCCAGGGAGAGGACACTTCATTATGTATCCAAGAAATTTCAACTATCTCTTTCTGATTCTGGTTCTTTTTGTTACCATTTTCTTTAAGAATTCCTCATTACTTACATGCTCCATCCATGGAGATTGTATCTTGCCTTCCATTGGGGTAGTGTATTAAGGCATATCAGTTCTACTCTATCTATTAGTGGTTGTTATTTATTCTGCTATATGTGGCATTTTAATAGCACTGTCTCTGGTTGTGACAGCCATCATTGCAATGAAGAGTCCATGGAACATCTTAAGAACAAAATGAATCTTTGGTATAGAGTGGTATTTATCGCTGAGCATAGTAGTATTCTCATGGCATGTAAGGCAGTCAGTATTAGACTTTCCCATCAATCAATGGAGTACCCGTGGTCAGCTGCTTCTAATTGTATAGTTTTCTAAATCACGCTGTTATATCTCTTACATTGACCTGCAGGTTATATGAGGTAGTTCTACTAGTGGCTATTCCTTGTTCACATAGGAACTGTCTGACCTGATCAGTCATAAAGTCAGTCCCTCGGTCAAGTGAATATAGGCAGTTAACCCAAAGGTTGAGAAGAGGAAACAGAGAGCATGGATTACTGTTTTCGCAGTTACATCAAGACAGGGAAGCACAACTATTCATCTATTATTTTCTGGAAGCCAGCTATCCCATTAGTTATGTCAAATAGGATCCTGAAAAACTAATACAGGCAGCCTCCAGCTTCAAAAGCAGTGTATGGCCTATTAATAGCTACTTGGTGATAAGTTCTTTTTACTTTTAGTTTCACATAACAAAATCTCAATGCTTGAGTTGACAATTGTTACTACACTGGTGCATGGAAAGATTTTTTTACCAGTTAGTTTTGGCTATTTTCATATTGACAAAATTCTCAGAGCTGCCTGTATCCACTAGAGCATTTAGGAGCAGGCCTTTGGCCTCTAGCTTTATTGTAGCATCCGATAAGCAACTAGATTGGGCTGAAAAGACTTTTCTTACATTGCTTTTACAAACCTTGGCCCAGTGGCTTTTCCTTCTGCAATAAAGATAATTTTGATCCCTAGTAGGGCATTTCAGATATGGGTGTATTTTGGCCCACATAAAAAGCAAGCATATCAAGTGGAGGCCATGGCTTCTGGGTTTTCTAGGGGGTCTGGAGTACGAGTGGGTGCAGAAATAGAAAGTTTCTCATCTGTCATAGTTACAGAACCCAGTGAGTTAGTGAATGCTAAATTTTGTTGGGCCATCTCTGATGCTCTAGCTAATTCATATGCCTGCTGGAGGTTGAGATTTTTATTCCAATAGGCACTACTCAATGTTTACTGTTAGCAGTCCATTAATGAAAGTGTCTCACATCAATTCCACCCGATACTGCTCAGCTAAGGTACAGTTTTTACTAAATATGTTGACTTCCTTGAGGAAATTATCATTAGATTTGGGACATC